AGTCTCTCTCTGTCTTTGTCTCTATTTTTATTTATTTTTTTATCTGTCTTTGTCTCTGTCTATGCCTCTCTCTCTCTGTCTCTATCTTCATTTCTCTCTGTCTCCGTCTACAGCTCTCTCTCTCTGTCTCTTCTCTTTGTCTCTATCTTTATTTCTTTCTCTGTCTCTGTCTCTGTCTACACCTCTCTCTCTCTGTCTCTCTCTCTGTCTCTGTCTCTATCTCTATTTCTTTCTGTCTCTGTCTCTGTCTACACCTCTCTCTCTCTCTCTCTGTCTCTTCTCTTTGTCTCTATTTTCATTTCTCTCTGTCTCTGTCTATACATCTCTCTCTCTGTCTCTCTCTCTGTCTTTATCTTTATTTCTTTCTCTGTCTCTGTCTACACCTCTCTCTCTCTGTCTCTTCTCTCTGTCTCTCTCTCTCTCTGTGTCTGTGTCTCTGTCTCTATCTTTATCTCTGTCTGTCTCTGTCTCTGTGTTTATTTCTCTCTGTTTTTGTCTCTGTCTTTGTCTATAGCTCTCTGTCTGTCTCTGTTTTTTTTCTGTCTCCGTTTGTTTCTGTGTCTGTCGCTGTCTCTCTCCCAGCAGTACTATATGTGGGGGGCCCCCCAGCTGTACCCTATATTGGGGGCCCCCCACCTGCACCAGCCATAACAATAAAACAAACAAAACAAAAAAAAACAAAACAAAAAAAAAAACAAAACAACAAAACAAATAAAAACAACAGAGGGCTACGAAGAAGGGGGGTTTATATAATTCTCTTAAAAATGCCTTTCTATGGGGGCCCCCAGGGGTGGGGGGCCCCCAGAGTTGGGGGGGCCCCCAGGGGTGGGGGGCCCCCCTTGAAGAGGGGGGCCCCCACTGGCTGGCTGTACGGGTACGGGGGCCCCCCCCCCCATCTCCCCCCATGGGGGCCCCCCTGTGTCCCTGTATGGGTTCGAGGGGGCCCCTACTCTAGGTGTAGTAGTTTTTTAATTTGTTGTAGGTAGGGTTTAGTAGCAGCAGAAGAGAGCTGCTGCTGCAGCCGTTGCTGCTTCTGCTGCAGCAGCAGCAGCGGATCACATGTAGGAGGCAGCAAGCTGCTGTTGGCGGTGGGGTCCCTTAGATAGAGGTCAGCATCTCTCAGTACCCACCCAAGGGGGGCCCCCACCCCTATACCTACAGAGAAGAACCGGGGGCCCCCCCGCCGCAGCAGCAGCAACGCTGTTACTGCAGCAGCAGCAGCACCGAGTGTAGTGTCTAGAGCAGCAGCAGCAGCAAAGCGGCTATATACTTCTTTCAGGGGCAAGCTGCTGCTGCTGCTGCAGTTCATACCCTTGCTGCTGCAGCAGCTGCTGCAGTCCCCTTTACACCCCGCATTGCTGCAGCAGCTGCTGCTGCAGCAAGCAGGCTGCTGCTGCTGCTGCTGCTGCCGAGGCAGCAACACAAACCGACCCCTGCCTCTCTGGTATCCTTCAGTTGCTGCTACCATTGTTAGATGCTTCTGCTGCTGCTGCTTCTTCCTGCTGCTGCTCCTGCTGCTGCGCTCGGCTGCCGCTCTTGCTGCTGCGGCGGTGCTGCTGCTGCTGCTGCTGCTGCTGCTGCTGCTGTTGGTAGGGGCTTAGCCCTATATCTGCCAATGAAATATCTGTAAGATTATGCGTCTGATACAGCTGGTTTTGTTGCTGAGCTCTTGTAGCTGCTGCTGCTGCTGCAGCTGCTGCTGTTGCTGCTGCTGCTGCTGCTGCTGCTGCTGCGGCGGCGGCGGCGGTGAGGAGCCGCAGCGTCTACAGGGAGAAGCTAGGATATTGTTATGTATAAAAAAGAAAATAATAAACTTTGTTGCACTTTGCTTTGTTTTATAAGACGAGTACTTGCTGCTGCTGCAGCAGGAAGACAGCAGCAGCAGCAGCAAGGGGACCGGCA